TTGCTTTTATAGAATAAACAACAATTGATAATCTTATCTCGAGAAATTATAAAAAAACGGTAAAATTTTTTATTATCATTAACAAATCTTTTTATAGTTAAGGAAAAAGATAAAGATGAAAGGTTGTCTTTTAATTCTTTTAATAAAATTTAACGATTTTTTCCCGTTCCAATATATTTATCTCTATTATGTTTGACTCGATTGATTTTTTCATCGTATCTTCAAATCATACTAAGACATAACAAAAAACAAAAAAATTCTAAAACGGCAACAATAATTTGAATGAATATAATTAATAAAAGTTTTTAATAATCTTAATTCTGATGATGAAGATTTAATATTAATCTCGATGAGATAATTGATTTCTCTTATGGATCTAAGATGAAAAATTTCTGCAAACAAATTCTGAAAAGTATAACGTTAGAAGCAGATAATTATCATTTATCATCTCATTTCGATCTTCTCAACATTTTATTTATTGAAAATAATTTAATAAAAGTTTTATTGTAATTCAAACATTAAAAAAAAAACATTTTTCTTGACATTGAGATCTATGAGAATAATCGAAAATTTTCAAAAATATTTTCCAATAGAAAACTAGTCTATCTATTATGGTTATACATAAATAACAACCTTTTTTTATCATATTTATTAAAACCGTACAGAATTTAAGAAAAAAACACGAATGGTAAAAGAAAACATTTAACTGACATGACTACTATCAATAAATTATTCTTTTTGAATGTTATCTATCAAATACCGATAAAGAATACGACATTTTTATTATTATTATTAACTGATTGATGAAAATGAAAGAAAAATAATGATAAATATTTGTTTACCAACATAAAAATAATCGTTAAATAGAATAATATTTGATAGAATTTATTTGGAAGAAATCTTTATTGCGTTTTAGTATTTAATCATATTTAATTCTATAAATAGATTCTATTTGAATTCATCTTCATACAATAGAATATCATTTTCAATAGATCGTTTCTTAATATATGATTGATTATCTTTTATAATAATTATATCAGAAATAATTTATATAAACTAATTTTGAAAAAAAAAGAATCTTATTCGAAATTTGATTGAAACATTTTTCTTTTTTATCGTAATTAACATTTTCAAAAATGATCCTATAAATACAATCAATATTTTGACGAGTGAAATTTTTAAAACTATATTATATAGAGAAATCAATTATTTGAATTCTATTTAAAATGAATCCATTCAGATAATAGATCATTTATAGATATATTTATTCAATTACTTAACAATAAACCAAACTAAATATTATAGATTAGATTTTATTTTCAATAATTATTATTAGTTATCATTATTTCTGATTGATCTCTTACTAAAATAGTAAATATCCATAACTAATCTTGATTCAATTTTTCGTAAAAAGACACTCTAATAAACAGCTTCAACCAATCGAAGTCTCTTTAAGTATTATAAAGGTCATTATTATAACTGATACCATCTTTTTAATTCATCTATGTGCGCTGAAAAAAGAAACAACCGTAGAATTAATATTGTCATAGGGTTTAGAATTGTTGACAATTATTTTAAATTCTCTTCGATATCAATTTGATTAATGTAAACATGTTTGAGAGTAAATTGTTGATCTACTAATTCGTATTTATATAGAATGACATGTTACTATTCCTGCATTTAAACTTATTTCTCTTTTCTTATTTTTCATTACTTCAAATAGGGTATATCACTTTTCAATTTTTATTCCAGATAACTAACACCAGGGCTGTCGCGAGCGGGGGGGGGGGGGGTCTCCCCCAATCTTGAGAAATTTTCGTTTTTTCCCAGCAAAGTTGCAGCATTTTTTTCGTTTTTTTGCTCACCGATTCTCAAAAAGTCACTCGTCCCCCCCCAATCCGGTGAATTTTAGCAAAACTTTTTCGGTCGACCTCCTGAGTCATCGATTCCCCCCCCCCAATTTTTAGGGTCTCGCGACACCCCTGACTAACACAATTCTCTATGGTATTATCAATTGGGTTACGGGCAACTCTTCGATATAATAAAATAATCTTAAATTATTATAAATAGTCATTATCTGAAAAATTTCTGTTCCGAAACAGTTTCGCTGCTTACGCTTTTAAAAGATCTATTATTTATTGATTTAAAAGCTATACAATCTTAACAATTGTGCATGATTTCCGGCGACTGTTAATCATTGATGAAAAAGTATATAGTGTCTTGAAAGAGAAAGTGATCTTCATATCATTTTTATTAATTGAACTGTTTTTTACATAACCATATAAATATCTGTATGATGTGGGTGTGAAATAGGGGTGTCACACTTACCACTTACCACCACTTCCACTTACCAGGTAAGTGGTAAGTGTTTTAATCATTCGAAAATTATCGATATAACACTGATAAATAAATATCCTAATTATGAATTATTCATTCATGCGTAGCGATCTTCACCACTTACCACTT